GCCTTTTGGCAGCACCACTTCTCAGGCTTCTGACAAAGCAACACCCGCGGATTATGAGGTTGTAGGAGTCACGGCAAGTGTAAAGCCTTGAGGTTGATTGCTTCGAACCCAGTCGTTCCGGTGTACAGCTGGAGGATTTGCCCCAAGTCAAAAGCATCTGGCAGCCGCAACACGTGCCCTGAACTGAAGCGTACAGGGCAGACCATACAGAACTGAACCATCTACCCTTACAGTGAAAGTAAAGCTAGACTCGTCTTACAGCCAACTCAGTGGATTCCAGCTCGAGGATGTGCCCCAGTGGTTTGGGGTCATCAATCTGGTCATCGTGGGAGTCTTTGTTGTCGAGGCGCTTGTTGATAGTTTCTTTCAGGGACAGTGTCAGGGCTTGAAATCCAAAGTCCCAAGGATGATTTCATAGTGCAAAGAGAATCATGGCCGAGCTGCTTCTCTCGGTTTAGGATTGCTTGCTGATCCTGCTTAGGCAGCATTGTTTGGCAGCGAGTCTGTGGGTGTTGATGGGTTTGCAATGTTCAGAAGGTGCTTTAATGAACCGTTGCAATCAACACCAATCAACAGAGCCTTGAGTTAGGGGTTCAGGGTCTTGGGGGTGCAGTTCCCAACACATGAGTCTGCACATGCAGTGAAGGCCCTCTGCCCTTGGCACCTCGTTTTGTTGTTTGCAAGAGATTGAGTGAGGGAGTGAGGGTCGGCTCAGATGCACTCAGCACAACAGCTTGGTCCCTGCCGCCATCTAAGCCTTTCCGCTAACGTCATCAAGGCTCCGGCAACAGTTCAACACGGTGGGGCCCCTGGATCTAAGCTGAAGATTTGCGCCATCCAGACCTCCGCGAGCCCGCCCCCCCCGAGCCAGCATGATTGCTATTCATAGGGGTTTGAGGTTGGAATTGGTCACATGGCAAGACAGCTGGCTTCGCGGGACCTGATGCTCTTCGCCCTGTTTTCCCTCACAGGGGGAGAAGGGGGTGGAACCACAACAAGCCTATAGGAACAGCAAAACATAATTCAGAACAGTGTTTAGAAGTACATTCCCATTGCTGCTCGTTGCTCTGCTGTGATCATATTGATTGCTTTTATGTGCTGGGATGCCCTGATCAGGTCAAGAAAATCGATCTTTAAGCAGAGGTGGCTCCCGAGCCGACCTCCAGAAGTGGCTCCCGAGCCCCCTGGCCCCGAGCCAGCATTTTTGCATTTTTGCTGACCAAAAGCCTCCACAGGTGGCTCCCCGCAAAGCCACCGTTTCAACATTATTGCCAACAAAGAGCATCTAGAGGTGGCTCCCGAGCCCCTGGCCCCAAGCCAGGCCAGGAGACCGCTTCAGCATTTTTGGCCGAAAGCCACCTTTCAGCATTTCAGAGGCGGCTCCCGAGCCCACTGGCCCCAAGACTTCAGATTCTTGGCCATGGAGCTCGGAAGCCAACTCTGAAGGCTTGGGGCCAGGCGTGCGGCCAGCGGGCTCGAGAGCCACCTCTGGATGATTTTTTTGTCTGCAAAAATCTTAAGCTGTTTGACAAAAAATCACCGCATTTTTTCGACAAAAAGCCTCCACAGGTAGCTCCCGACCCCCTTGGCCCCAAGCCAGGCCAGGAGCTACCGCCGACAAAAAGCCTTGACAGGGAGCCACCAGCATTTTTGCAGACCAAAAGCTTGGCCCCAAGCCACCAGTGCTTTAGCCTTTTAAGCCAGGCCGGGAGCGAGCGCTTCAGCTTTTTTGCTGATAAAAAGCCTCCAAAGGTGGTTCCCAAGCTCCCTGGCAGCGCGGGAGCCACCTTTGCAACATTTTTGCCAACAAACAGCGTGAAAGCCTCCTGGCGCCGAAAGTCACGTTGCTCCCAAGCCTGGCCCCAAGCAGCACTTTTGCCGACAAAAAAGGTTTCAGGTGGCTTCCGAACCCCCGCTCCAAGCCGGCAGGGAGCCTCCGTTTCAGCCTTTTTTGCCGATACCGTGTCAAAAAGCCTAAGGACATCCAAGCCAGGCCGGGAGCCACCGTTTCAGCATTTCTGCCCGAGCTCAAGCCAGGCCAGGAGCCACCGTTCGGAGCCACCGTCTCAGCGTTTTGGCCGACAAAAAGCGCCACCGTTTCGGCCTTTTCGCCGACAAAAAGCTTCCAGAGGTGGCTCGCGAGCCTCCTGGCCACACGCCAGGCTGCCACCGCTTCAGAATTTTTGCCAACAAAAAAGCCTTCAGAGGTTGCTCCAGAGCCCCCTGGCCCCACCACGTTTCAGCATTTTTGCTGACAAAAAAACTCCAAAGATCGGGTTCCAGGATTGTCAATTTCTGTAGCGTGGTTCCCCTAAAGATTCGTCGTGGTTCTAGCGTTTGTTTCAACTGTGGTTACAACCCCCCCTCAGAGGTGCTAAGTCTGGGCCCAAGATCAAAGCCGATACCCCTATGTCCGCGTTCGACTCGATGTCTGCTTGGCTTGTTGGGGCTGCCTGGAATTTGTGGCGCCGCACTTGACCAAAGCGAGGTCGTTTGCTTGCAAAATATGCATCGGAAAAACTGCCAAGCAAGAAATGGAGGAATTAAACTTTGGCCTAGTCCGTGCCTGAGGCCCTGCACAGAACCTAAGATCTGGTTTACTGCTAGACTGTTCAAGTTGTCATAAAGCGCTTAGTTTTGTGAGCCTCGCAGCAGATCAAGCCTGTGAATGGCTGGCAGGCACGGCTGGATACCGCAGATGGCAGTTTCAAACAGACTGCAATTGTGAAGAAGTGGCATTCATCAGATGGCCAACTTTCATCCTTAGATGTTTCCACGTTTTCCACAGCATGTAAGGAATCGGTGTGCACCATGTCAGGTCGTTTTGGACAAGGCCCACACTCGTTGGGCAAGCAAACATAAGGGTGAGACCCCCGAAGTCAAAAAGCTAATGCAGCGTCCTGGTTTCTAGGGCCACGATGCTGGCTGAACGATGCCATGTGATACAGACATATCATGAAATTTTAGTGCGTGCCCCCCCGCCCTCCAGCCTCCGCAGCTGAAATGGCCGCCCTGCCCCACACATTAGAGCACCTGACGTTTACTGTAGGTGTTTACCAAGGAGCGAGGCGCAGGTTCACGGGACGACGTCTTGCTCTGTGCAAGCTTGAAAGGTTAGGAAATGAGAGCGATCCCGGGGTCTCCTAGAACATGGATTGGTGTTCAAGCGCAGCAGAGCGTTTCGGTGCGATCAGAACAAAGTCTGTGCGGAGTCTGGCCAGGTGACGCTCAAGCTTGTCGCGCTCGGGTGCCCCGTAACAAAGGCATTGGCCATCGGAAACAGATTCTGTTGAAGAACGTTGATGTTTATCCATTGTCACATCCCCGGAGCTGAAGGCCGGTAACATTTTCAAGGTGAGCAAAGGTAGTTTCAATCAGCTCAATTGATTGCAGTGTCCATTTCCAATCACGGGATGAGATGAGATGAATAGCACGGCTTCAGCTAGGCCTGCAGAAGATCCTTTCATTAATCTTGCTTGGGTCCAGACGGTAGTGGAGATTTCTGTTACCACGGATATTGTCCTTTCCTTTGTAGTACGCTTGGACGTTTCGGGCTGCTCTTGTGAGTAGCTAGATGGCATCCCAGATGAGATTCTGGCCTGCTAGATGACTACTTGAAACTCGTTTAGTTTCTCTTGAGAAGCAGCCCATTAAGATACTACAGGTGAACCTTTTGGGTTGCCAGGCTCCCGCAGTTTCATGTGTGATTCTGGTGCAGGGATCTTGTTGTCCAACCAAACTGACGAAAATGGCTGTCCAGTTCTTACTCATGATGCACATGTCCGCGGCGGCTGCTGCTGCTTTTGTTCAAAAGGACATTTGGATTGCGAGTGTAGAAGCATGAGTTGGGTTGCCGGTGCCCCTGTTTGTTCACCCCGCCCAATGCTCAACAGCTACGCCGGCCTTCGGCAGAGAATTTTAAGGAAGACGACTGGTACTGCTGATGCCTCTGCTTGAGCATCAAGGGTAGCAGAAGCAACCACTCTTCCTCCTACGGTATCAACTCCACCGCTACCACTGCCAACCCCAACCGCCCCCATCACTGCCTTTGCTGTTAGCAAGCGAGCTCAGGTGCAGCACGTACTGGATGGGCCCAGACAGCGCATGGCTCTTCAGCGGCACTTAATCCCCTGCGATGCACCTCTACATTATATAATCTTGGCAGCTCCGCGACCAGTGCCCTGGAAATTGAGCACTTTTGCGGTGAATCAGCGGCGCAGATATTCATCGTGATGCCCAACAGATCCAAGGTATTGAATGCATGTTTGAAAAACAAACTATTTGTTCGATATCTCCCGTTGTTGTTCTCGGCGGCATGCTGAGCAGGAAGAAATCCCAAAGCTCTCTGAGCTACCCAACTTCTTCAGCCCTAAACCCCAAGCCCAAAGACAACGCAGAAATGTTCCGTGCAGTCACCCTGGGATCTGGCCGGTTGTCTCATACATAGGGTGCATGGTGAAAAACTGGTCACTAGCCAACTGTTGTTGAAGATTCCAGACTCGCGTCTTTTCTCAGGGGCTTGGAGGTCTGCAGGTCTGCGACTTGTCGAGTAGATGATTTGGCTTGCAGTGTCTATACGTGAGCTTTAGAACATGGCGCGTAAAAACGCTGGACGGCAGGTGGGTCGGAGCTTCCATGTATAGAGCAGTCATGGCGGAATTCTGCGGAAGCAAAGGGAAGAATAGATGGCAGTCAGGTCAGGTAGGCCAAGAGTCTTCTCAAATTCTTCACCCTTGCCATGGGCCCTCATGCCGCTCAAGTATGTTTTGATACAGCATGGCGAGAAGTTCAAGATTTTTGGTACATACTCTCGAGGTCCACTACATCGGAGGGAGTGATTCAGCATTCATTTTCTGAAGACAGAGCAGATGGTCAGCATTTCTACATTGGCAGAAACTTCCTGAGAGGTCACAGCATGCAGACAAGCTGGTTGTAATCCTCACATTGGCCAAAGCCTTCTCCTTATATATCATCCTGTACATTGTACGTGTCGTCGCGAGGAACATCTTCGACTTCTTCATCGTTGCCGTGTCGGTGACAGGGCCTTCTGCAAAGTTGTTTTAGGCTTCAGGCGGTTTTGGAAAAGACTTCCAGATTAGATTCGCTGGTCCGTGGTCGCGAATGTGTGGTCACATGTCAAAACCTCAGAGTCTTGAAGAAGACGAGGTCAGTGCGCCAGGGATGATGGTGGTATTCTGCACGAAGGATTGAATCCCCAGCATTCTAAAAAACTGAGGCCGCTAGGAAAAGATGGTTCTGCTTATTCCTACGTTTGTTTCGCATTGTTTCGCCTTGCAGGTTTGGAAGTCTGGGAGCCACAATTGACAACTAGGTCCTCCGGATAATGAAGGCGTAGAATGCCACTCCTTGTGACAATGCTATTCAGCAGTGCTTTCATCGCTGCATGTATACAGCCACAACGTAACAGGCTGCTGTGACCAACAAGATGTGATGGCTCTGCTTCAGGGTTGGCCTGGGCTGGAATTGCAGACTTTGCTCAGGCCTGTCGGTATCAACACGGACAGGCAAGCCGTGGGCATTGGTTCTCCTCGCGAAAATTGCAGGCAGTCTGCAGCTCTTAATTTCGTAGCTTATTCGCAAGACTCGCAGCAACGACCAGCCTTAACGGCAAATAGCTTCTGACGTGCCTGCGACGATGAAAACCTACAGGATCTTCAGTTGTGGCAAACCAGAGCAGTTTTGGATGACGTCAGGATTTAGGCCTGCTTTTGCAGGGTTGCCGAAACCACTTTCTAAGTGAAATCTTGTGCCGAAACCACTTTCTGAATGAAATCTAGGGGCCAGGATCGGCAGTCTTACAGACTCGACCAAATCCAGAAGCCACGGCCGTGCACCTTCGTTGTTAGAAGGAAGCAGAGGGAACGGAAAGACCTTCATTAGTTGGAACGACCTGTCCATATGCTTAGATCTTGAGCTATTCTCTGGAGCTGGAACAGGCCTCTAGGCCCGAGGCTGAGGCACTGTTGAGATTGTATTGCAGATAGTAAAGTGCAAGGACCGGAAGATTCATAGCTCCTGGAAGCCCCAGGTGAGTGAGAGCCTGGTGAGCTATTGGGCGCAAGCTGCATCAGACGAACCTGCCGAAGCGGATGGGTCGATCCCTGGACTGGTGAACAGGGGAAGAGGCTTCTGGCTTCAAAATCACGCGAATGACTGCAGACAGGCACCCTTAAGTCCTCAAGTGCAATTGCGCTCTTGCAAGAAGGTTGCAGCAAGGGACCATAGCCTAGAACTGTGACACCTAGGAATGCCCAGCAGCTCTTTGCATCTTTGTTGCGCTTGGCGCGAGCGCTTCGCGGGGTGCGCGTGGTTCGCCTTTTCCGCGCCCCGGTCAGAAGAAGTAAGGGTGCATGATTTAAGGGATGATCGAGGATCTGTTGCTATTGGACGGGGGCCTTGGCCGAGGCTTGTCTGGCGTGCAAGACAGTTCGGACACGGATCCTTTGAGCGAGAGCTAAGAGCTTCCAAGCTTCAGGAAAACATGAATGCTGGTGCTTAAGCTTCCTCACCGTTGCGGAAGTATCCAGACTCGCTTGGCCCAAGATTCTATGTCCTGGGATGTCCTGGGTAAGTCCACTTCTGCTCAGAGAAGGCATGTCTGAGTTTCACTGCTACGTAGATTTGGTAGTTCGATTGAGTTCCAATATTTAATACTTGCAGGTGCTAGCACGTTTAGAAAACTCCCTTCCCCCGGATCCCCCGTGGATGTGGCCACAAGCCTCCGTTATTTAGGATAGCCAGCTCCATCAGCTGGAGCTTACCACCACCGCCACCACCACCACCACCGCGCCGCCGTGGCCGCTACCACCACCGCCGCCACCGCCACCGCCACAGCGACCGCGACCGCGGCCAGAAAAAGAGACAACAACAAGGAACCACAAACACACCTACATCTGCAAGAAAAGCAACAGCAGCGGTTTTGCATTTGAATTCATCCTCAAATCGGCTTGACAAGGTGAAGTGTTTGTAATGAAGTGGTTCCAGAGCCTGCCGCTCACGACGCAGATGTGGAACAACGGGGCACCTTCCACAGAGAGCACGTATCACCACGTTTTGTCTTACGCTCGCCTGCTTCGACCCGGCCCACTGTGCAGGTTATGTCAGTGCTCTTCGGACGCTGCTCGGCGGAAGGGGACGACACAGGCCTCCTCAAATTTTGGCACTGCCTAGTAACGCATCAGTGAGGCGCGAAACCAATCTTGCCGCATTCGGTCGGTTTTATGTTTGTCCAGAGAGCAGTTACCTCTAATGAAATCCGACTTGGCTTGTGCATGTTCAAGATATTGACACGAGACCAAGTCAATTGCTTGCATAGCCGCTGTCCAGCCGCACTGGCTTTCATGGTATGCAGGAATCATATTCGCATGTGACTCGTTCTCTGAGATTACAGCTTTGTTTCGCGATCCGCCTCCATTTTGGGCTGGCTGCTTGCAGAGAGGCGTTCGGAAATTCAGGCGTCTTGAGATTCCTGCTAGAAACATTTACAGCTTTGCACGATAATTATGAGAATCCCGCAGGCGCTCACTAAGGATTGACAAGTTCCGCATGATTTTCATGAGCGTCTACTGTACATGATGTGGGAGTCTATATTGTGGGGATGGTGGGGACAGATCAGCAATCCAGCAATTCAGGCAGCCCATAAGAGCAATGCCTATGCCCCACCTTGCCTTGTTGCTTAGTCGGTTCGTGCTTCCTAGTCCAGCTCCTATCTATCAGTGGATTGCTAGCTGCCAAAGCAGAGCCGAACATCGCAATGATAACTGCGAAAGAAATGTCAGACGAACTTCAGGCCATTGCTAGCAATCACTTACCTCTTAAGACAGTTCAAAAGAAGCCAAAGCACCTGCCTGTGGCTTATCACCCCACCTCAGCTTGCTGAGGCTTGTCCTCTCGATTGTGGGAACAACTGCATCTCTTTTCTGGACCCTTGTGATGCTGATGATTCTGTTCCCAATTAAGACCATTGGCCTCTGCGCTCAGTGTTGCATGACGTGATTGAACTTTCCAAGCCGGCATTTTCTAACACTCTAAGACCGCATCAGGGTTGAAAGCATCCGCAAAAGATCCGGACAGAGACTTCTTATGTTGCCAAATTTCCGGGGATGCATAGTACATAACTTACATAACCCTGGACATTTGCTGCAGCTTGGAAAAGTTCATGTATTCCAGTTGTTCCTCTGTTTGTGTACTGTGTGCAATACAGCTTTTGTTGGTCCATATCACAGCTCCCTGCTTTCCAAGGATTCTCTTCTATGGCTTTGGCATTGCCCTGACCCAGCTCGTGGTGGATCACTGCCAATGGGTTTGCAAGTTTGCAGCTCTTGCCTGCCATGGGTAATATGCTTCTAACCTAAAGGATCTAGTCAAGTGCGCTCTCGAAGCATGATCAGTTTCGTGGACGAAGGCTGCGGGTTCAGCTGCAATCTCTTCTGCCTGGAATTTGCAATTCACGTCCAGATGTTTTAGTGTGTGTAGCTCTTCCATAGAAAGATCGGCCTATCGAGAAGCGTGCTGGCACTACAGCCTGCTCGCTCTTCAAAGGTGGCTGAGTCTGAGTAGCTTCAAACATTTTCCTATCTTTTCCTCGATCCGCTACGTAGCTTGTCTGTTGTGCGGACATGTGCATTTTGTTTTAGAGAGCTCGGATTGGCTCGGATAGGAATTATGAGTCTGATTCCAGTGTTTGGGCGCTGGCAGGCCGACTTCAAAGCATTGGAGTTCAAGAGGAGCCAGCGGCAAATCCCCATTCCGGAGTGGCAATCGGAGAGAAAATTGGAATTTGGGTTAGCATATCGTCGTGGCTGCCTTGGACTAGAAATTTCTTCGCATCCGAAGCCGCATTGTCAACACCCGGAACACACACTGCTAGCTGCCGATTTGTTGACAAATTCCTTGCAGCACATACTGAGCCGCGATATCCCCTTTCGTCTAGTGGAGCCTCCCCCTCTTGCAGCCCAAATTGATGTTGGCCCTGAACTTGCATCGTGGCACAGCTATCAAACCCGCATGACTCAATACAAAACGATACAACATTCGCGACCCTTCAACCGAAGCCCATTTTCAGTCGTACATCGACGCATCTTCTAGCAGGTGTGCTTCAACTCAGAATTCGGCCGCCATGCCAAACCTGAAGCAGTAAATGAAAGTCCAAGACCAGCAGGATCCGAATGCTGTGCCAACCTGCCCAAAAGACCTTGACAGGCACCCTGGCCTCCAATCAGAGGTCACGTGTAGCGCACATTCAGGATCCAGAGTATCAATATGTTTGAAGTTTGCTTCTGCTAGTGAGGTGATGACATACGTAAGGTTGAGGGACAATACATGAAGAATTGAGACTGGAGAAGAAGCTGCTGTTCAAGGCAAATCTCCGAGGTGTCACAGGCGTATGTGGATTATTCCCTCCCGTGGACCGCAACACCATGCCATGACCAGGGATGTGACTAACATGATGAGCACGAACTGCAACACCTTTGCAGTGAAAGTCTCACAAAACCGGGCATAGTCGGCCTAGGAGACTCACAAAAGTGTTCGGCGAAAGCTTGAGCATCTAGATCCATGCACGTCTATTCACCACAGAGCGAGCAGCCTGATGGTCGCAGCTTCAGCTTTTTCAAGCTTTCTGAGACTTATAGATGGTTGCTGGTAAGCACTTATTACACTGCATACGTGGTCAGGGTTTAGATGCTGATCTACTGTACGGCGCGTGCTTTGTAAAGGCTGCGTGGACCTCTGGGACTGGTTGATGAGGTGAGCGCCCATGCAGAGGCAAACAGAAGCAGACCCGGCTCATGGGATGATTGTAGTGCATGAAGCAGAGGTGCTCACAAATCTCAACAAGATTCAACATACCCATGCTTGCACGCCCAGGTATTGGTCATCCATACCGGAGAGCATGCTCACGCTGCTAATCTTGCATCTGAATGGGGAATGCCTGCGAGGTCATGCCCGATACGTCATAACCCAGTTACCCAGCCAACCTAAACTACAGCAAGACGACGGCAACTTCAGTTTTGCCTTGTATGGATGGCGCTATTTTGATGGCAGCTTTTGCTAGAACACTTCTGAGCTCCAAGCTTGAAGAGTGGCGGAACGTGCCCTCAACCTAGACTCCTCTTCAGCATTTGCCTGCAGCGTCATGAAGTTTTTTGATCGAGCCTCTCGCGATCCATCGCGAGCGCGAAGATGGACTTACGAAATGACGCCGCGCCCGAACAAGATTTGTGCAAATGCAGTTCTGCCGCAGACGGAGCAATCGTGGGTTCTACATCTAATGGTTCAAATTGGGAAGATCACTGCGCAAGCAAGATATTTGTTGCTCTGACGCTTCTCAAAATCCTGTATTTCCAGGAGAGACAGCTAGTCACTAGCTTGGGAACTTTCTCAACCTTAGGTCCTCAGTAGGACTGGAGATGACTGGAGGTACAAGCAGAGAGACTGCCCATCCAGGCTGCAAGCCCGAATCGTTATACAACATTTTGGAGGTCTTAAGGCCCAACTCCCAATCTCTCAAACTTCACTTTGAAAACCCATCAACTTGCCACGTCCCGCGACGTGCCTGAAAAGCGGCGTTTGTTGTAAGCTTAGAGGCTCGGCAGAAGTGCAGACGGGCTTCTCAGTACCAAAGTGCTTTCCCATGCTCGTTTTGGCTCTTCTTTCGACGCTCTTTGTCTGGAAGTCTGGAATTCTTGATTTGCTTAGGCTCTTCATGTCCATCTCTGGTGGGCTTAGCTGGGACGACGCGATGCGGCCTCTTCGGCAGGCAGTGAATGTTGCGTGGGTCTACGTGGCGTTTGGGGTGCAGTGGTTTGGGTGCCTTAAGCTTGAAGTTTAGATTTGAGCTTTCTTCTGTAGCTTCCATGCCTGTGCCATTCTTCTCGAACGTCTTTGCCGATCTGGTTCCAACCGCATACCTTGGGGTCTCTACATAAAATCTTCCCGCCGCAGCTCAATGCCCGAATCTTTCAAGAAACTCTGGGCACTACAGGGGTATCCTCCTAGAAATCGCAGAATGGCTTTCTAGACGGACACGGTGTCAAGCTCACTTCCTTCAGCTATGCCAGCATTGCATGAATGCACGCTGTTTGGTATGGGTTGGGTGGGTTAGGGGGTATTTACGTTTAAAACAGCAGTATACCTGAGAGGAAAGCATTTGAGCCACAACCGTTAATCTCCATGAAAGGAACTAGTCTTCGGGCGGTCATGGTTTAGAATTTCACGCAAACCCTGCTTACCGATAGGGGAAACCCAACACCGATACCCCTAATGAATGCTGTTTACCGATAGGGGAACCCAACTAAGATGCGGCCGCTTCTGGGAATAAGAATTTTGGCGCGAGCTCAGTTCGGGAGCAGTGAACATCTTGTGTGCCACAGTGCGGTTACCGGAACATGGGTTCTGTTGTGATTTACACGAGAAGGCTTCGAGTGTGGTAGGACGAAAGTTCGACCCAGCAGACCTACACTTGCAACACGACAAGCAGACCCCTTCTCCCCCATAGACTCCTCCACTGAGCACCTTGGGGACTCGGCTGGAAGCTTAAAGTTATTTTTAAAACAGGGTATTAATTTACTCCGCGACATGGCCGATGCTGCGTGCTTGTTGATCCTCCTGACAGGCCCGAGGCCCCACCAAGTCAAAACTTTATTCTTGGCGATGTATTGCCAGATTCAAGATTCGCTTGAGTTGGTGTGTTCTGCAGTATGGTGCAAACATTTTCTGGCAGTCATGTTAGGAAGCAGTCAGGGCATTACTTTGAGCTAGCGAACACCTGTGACATCTCTTACCTAGGGTTTATGAATTTCTGCAGTATTTGCCCAATGAATGTTGCTGGCAGCTATACGCACTATTCCTTGCTTCTCTAGATCGTAATGTTCTGGAGCTTGAACAATATCTGCAAGTGTTTTCCCGAATGCTGTGCAGCAGGGGTTCTCGTTTAAAGGTAAGGGTCGAGGGGTCCAGCAACAGTCGTTGCGTTTGTGTAAGCGTTCGCGAGTGTCACGCAGCATACCTCGCAGTCGCACAACACGGGTCCTCGTCGCGAAATGCAGAAAGCTCGTCACTTTTGGACTTGCTCCTGATCTTCGCGTTTCAAAAGTGTCAACACTCCCAGGGATTCGGGGGCTCTTGGTCGCGAAGTGCAGGACTGTTGTCACTTTTGGACTTGCTTGGTCCTCGCGTCTCACAAGTGTCAATCGTCGCAGGGATCGGGGGCGGTCCTGGTTGTGAAATGAAGAACTGTCGTGACTTTTGAACGTGGCTCTGGTCCTCGCGTCTCAAAAGTGTTAACAGTGACAGGGATCCGCGGGGTCTGGTCGCGAAATGCAGAACGGTCGTCACTTTTGGATCTTGCATTTGGTCTCCGCGCTTCAAAAGAGTCAAGACTTTTGGACGTGGCTCTGGTCCTAGCATCTCAACAGTGTCAACAGTCATAGGGATGTCACGTGTGTGCATTCCGGTTCGTGGATCATATCAGGTTTCTCACGTCCTTCTTAGCCGTTGGTTAACTGCAGGTGGAGGATGTTCTGCATACAGCTTTTGGACCGTGTTGGGATTCAAGCAACACTTTCAAGCAGTCTGAATTGCGTTCCGTGAAGCTTCCTGTATTTGAAGATTGCCGTGTCAATTTTCAGCTGGGCTTTCCGGGAGGCCAGCACATCGGAAAGGTGTGCTGACTGCAACGAAGGGAAGGGCCGCTCACTCACCAGTCCAAAGCAAAGGCAACAAGTCGGGCAACAAGTCGGGCAACAATTCAAGCATGTTCAGGGATATTCCGGGTCAAGAAGCTAGCCCAGTTTTGCTGCCTTTTCGAGGTTGGACTCTACCAAGGGAAGGCTTGCGGGGGTGTGCCCTAGGCGTCGTGAACAGAGGTGCACTGCTCTTGTAGCAGGCAGCAACAGCTGTTCAGAGACGACTTTGGGTGGCCGGTGGCCCGCGTCAGGGATAGTGCTTGAATCTGGCATTGGCTTCCTGCATAGACAATGCAAGCCGTGCGCTATGCTGATGGTGTTCCGGATTGGGACACAGCAGTTCAGAGGGGAAGAACATGGCGCTTGCACGCATCAACCGCAACAAGTCCCTTTTCACAAGCAACGATGCCGAAAGGTGCGCTAGGGTGCTTTTTGTTTTGCTAGAACACATCAAAAAGGGTCGCGTGTGATGCATGTCAAGGTCCGCCTCCCGGGGCCAAGGGCAAACCAACTGGCATTTTTGCCGGTGCTCCACAGCAAGCGGCTGAAGGGTGTGCAGCGCCAAGTTTGGCGGAAAAGGCCTTGCAAAATAATGTGGCACTGTCCTTCGGTGGTCAGCCGCCCAACAGTTACCTCGGGTTGACCTTCCTTAATCTGTGCCCCCGACAATTCGGGCGGCGGTCATGTAGTCCTATAATATTCGTCGCAGTAGCAGCAGCTTCGAAGGATGCCTAGCCCAAGAGGTTTCAGAACGGCCGTGACCTTGAGAGGTCAGAGGAGTTGGCTGACCAGGTTGAGACTTTCATTAGCGACTGTCAGAATGACTTGAGTGCCCTCATATGCAACAAGGGCAGAGGCTCAGGACGCTCGATTGCGCGCGACCAGATCGCGACGGTGAACAGAATGAGGAAAGACGGAGACAACCTGAGGCTGGACTTCCGCAGGGCCATCTCAGACTGGCGGACTGCCCTGCGCACACTGGATGAGATCACTGGGAATGATATGCTGAACAAGGCATAAGGGCTTTGCTGAAGCTTGCGTACTTAGCAGTCCGCGTTGAAGAAGCAAAGGTTCATGGGGAAAATGCACGAGGGCCAATTGAACATACAGCTCCAACACCGTTTTGTGCACTGGGCAGAGCCCCCTGCAAGACATGCGTAAGGATTTTATCTTCACGCAGACACTGATGCTAAGTAACTCCATGTTCAAGATTGCAACCACCTGGATGTCTAGCAGCTTGTTGCCAAAGTTTCTGTTCACGCTGCATGGCAACTTGCTCAACAAGATGCCTGAAGAGGTCTGAAATACACGGGGCCAGCAAGAGTAAGACACAGTTGCCCAGCGTTCGGATCCTGCCGTCTAAGCGGACGCGGACACCGCCAGCCCAAATTTTCAAGGACACAAAGACCGTGAGCCTGCTTGCGTCGTAAATTGTGGTGTGTGTCCTCTCATGTAAGCTACATGTGGACCAAATCCTGGCATTGAGCAAGCATTCCTGGGTGATCCACTTGGAAGCAAGGGCCAAGCTACAATCAGATGTGAAATTCAACAAGACTAGAAAATGCACAAACGGAAGCTAACCTGTAGTCACAAGTCTGCCTGTGGTCAGCTTTGGTGGCCTGGTTGTTTCCCGCAGCAACGTAGCTGATGGGGTGTGGGTGGAAGACTAAGATCCTTTCAGCTGCTGCAGCATGACCTGAAGGCCAATTTTTTTGTGACACACAGGCGTGCTATGTAAACAAGCGTCTCGGCCTTCTTGTTCATAGGCCTACTAAGCTAGCAAAAAGCTGATGCCCGGCCTACACCCTTGTGCGCCCAACACTGTGCGTCCGGCTCTACTAGCCAAGCGACATGCAGATGCCGGCCGGCGCCTCGCGCCCGCGACTGGCCACCCGGTTTTCGTACGCGTGGGCCAGCCTGCTCCTTCACTAGCCACTGCCGGGAATAGGCCAGCTAGCTATAAGCAAAATGCGCATGCCCGGCCAGCATCTTGAGATGTCTTGAGTATCCGCTACTGGACGTCTGGCTTTCGCGTGCATAGGCCTGCTAAGTTGCTTTGTAAGTTCAGAACTTTCTGTGCAGCGGGGATTCGCCCACACAGGGGCCCTGAAAAGGTCAAGCTCGCGTGGCCTCATCTCGCCACAGTGCCGGGGCAGACACTGGCTGGAGCCTTTTTCAGAATGCTTTCACTGTCCAGGCGTGAGTCAGTTCTTCAAGTCATTGATGGGCGTTGTTGGAAGGTTCAGGAGGCGCTCATTGCCCCATTTGCCTTCCGGCAGGATCGCTTGACGTTCGCAGCCTTCGACCGACTGTGAAACCTCCTGCTCGTGTGCAGTTGGTCCAGCACGTAATGATACCAGCAATGCTCATTCCTTTTGCCTCAGCGACAGGGGTGTGGACACCTGGGCACAATGTGTAGCCTGCGTGCTTTTTGTCAAACCTAAGTGGCGGAGACAGCGGATCTGTGATGTGTCAGCGCTGCCCTGTACGCAGGGTCATCGTTTTGCTCTGCTAGGTTGCTGTAGGAGTTCACAACACGCGTCCTCCTTTGTGTGCGCGTCAAGGGTCTCCTAAGTCATCAAGAATTCCAGCAGTTAAAATCGCAGATGACGAGTGGTATGTCCTTGATGAGCATCTTGCTGCGAACTGGAAATCATGAGAAGACTTAGATGGAGAGAAACAGAAGACGAACAAATTGACCTGGGGCCAGATTGGAGGGGTAGGACTGAGAACGAGGGGCCTCCTGATCTGTGGGAGGCTGAGCTCATGGAGGTGGAGAAGGTTTCGATGAAGACGGAAACTGAGAGGCGAGTTGAAGTGGGTGTTCTTGAGTGACTTGATCCCCCTCCAGCTTCCGCCCAGCTCCTTCAGACACAGCGTGTGACGGGTTGGAGATATGGTTAAGGTGAATGGCGGAGAAGGGCTAGAAGTTGCGTGTGTGGGATCCTAATCGTTCAGACGTGTCTGCGCCCAGCACTGACCCACCGGTGTCAAAGCTTTTGCCAGCTCTGATGGTTTCACGTCCGACTGGATCATGATGTCGTTTGATGTGAAAGATGCACTGATTCCTCGCGCTGCCCCAAGGGAGCCCACTACTGCCTCTCAGGTCGGCAGCCGGCGTCAGCTTGCTGGGGTGAGCAGTTGGCGTCCGACCTTGCGGAGTCAGGCCTTGTTGCAGACAAAGGGTGTCCAGCAGCATTTGGTAGACCCCTGAGAGAAGTTGCAAACATCCTCAAGGGCAAGTACAAGCTGGAGTTGTCAGATCCAGCGTCAGAGGTACGAGACATGCTGAAGTTCTTGAAGAAGGAGTTGGTTATCACTGGAGATGGCATTGAGGCTCGAATCAGCCCAAAGTATCCGAAGAAAATTTGCGCGGTGCTAGGTTTTAAGAGACAAGACTGCCAGGGCGCCATGTAGCCCGAAAATGTCTGAGGAAGACCTCTCAGAACCTGCTGTAGGAAGCCTACTGTACTACTTATCTCCGGATAAGCCAGACTGTCAATGGACAATAGCCCACCTGGCAAGGGCGATGAGGTGTCCCACGGAGAAGGTGGCATGCTACATGCCTCCATACAACTGCGAAGGTCTAGTCGTGATGAGGATGTCTTTCAAGGGAAGAAGCACGTGTTCTGCAGTTGGAGAAGCCAGCCCATCCTGATCCTGTTGCAGGAGCGTGTGATAGTGATTGGGCTGGACATTGAGCCAGGGTTCCTCCTTATTCGTGTGGTCACGCGCACGTCAATGGCAACGCATGCTATTGCTTTGCGCGGAAGCAAGCTGCCATACCCCGAAGCAGCTGTGAGGCTGAACTCCTCTCATATTGCAGAGTGACCGTGGAGGCGACGCACATCGAGCGTGTTGTTCGTACAGTGACATGCGCGCCCGCCAGACTGATCTGCAGACTTGATAGTTCGCGCGCGCCCTATCTTCTTTCCCTTAGAAGGGAGTCTCAAAGGTGAGACACTTGGGTACCAAGTTGCTTTGGTTACAGAAGGCAGCCAGTGAGAAGAAGGTTGAACTAGGAGCAGCGAACACTCATGTCAACACCAGCGACATAGGCGCGAAGGCATGAATTTCAGATCGCTACAACTTTCTCTTGCGCCGCTTGGGCTTCAAGGGGCTTATCATGCAGACAAGAGATCAAGAAAAGCGCGAGCAGATGCAAGCCAAGGTTGTCAGCGTGCTCGTCCTCGCGGGCGAGATTCGTGGAGTTGCTGGAGTAGATGATGAAGACGATGGTGATGACAATGAGCCCAATATGCTAACATCACAAAGCGTCTTGGTCTTAGTGGCTGCGGTCATTGTGGCATTGATGTTGGTGTGGTTGGTGTAGTCCAGATGTTTCTGTTCTGATCATGAAGTTGTTGGAACAGGGTCTGATGGAGAAAGCTAAGAATCACGCGCGCAGGACGAAGTTGGAGATCAACGGCAAGGGGATGAACAAGCGCAGCGTGAGCGACGTGGGATAGATCACGAAGGCCGAGATGTTCCAGCACCAGCAAGCAGTAGACGCAGGAGTACGAGACTGAGCTCAAGCAGTACAAGCCGGAGTCCAGACAGCCGGAGTTCTAGTTCAAGGACATCCAGTGGTGCAAGCGTAAGTAAGTTCAAGGACATCCAGTAGTGCAACCGCACGGTCAAGCGCCACACTTCATTGTTCAACTTCCAAGTCCATTTCCGGACCTTCGCTATTGCCCCTGGAATGGAGTAGTGTACCATCGCCTGGGGGTGGGTGTCTCAGAGCAGGCCATCAGGTGCAGGTCCATGGGGTCCACATCATTTCAGGCTTCGGTTGCCTCCGTGTGGGCAATGCGGTTTAGAAAGGTTGCCGGTAGGAGGTAATGTTCGTCTTTGGTGACCACTGCTGTGCTGGTGAGTCGTTGTGTTGTTGGAGTGAGAACGACTGAGTTGCTACACCGAATTCTTCTGAATCAGAGTGTGTGCATACTAGTTTGCAAGCTGTAGCCTTTGCAACCAACTTTTGCAACTGTTCAACTCTTCCATCCTGGAAAGATGGTGTGAGGATCGGCAGTTTGTATCAATGGTGGTGTGCATTTGGGGTCGGCGGAGCCTAGATATCAAAGCTTTCTGTCAAGCACGGGCTAAACCAAAGACCCATCACACACGAGGTGTGTAAAGTTGCCCGGTAGCATGGCAGAAGGTTCATGCGACCTCTGTTTGTCAGTAGTACGCACATCTTAAAAGATGGGAGGTCCCAAGGAGGGGCGCAAGATGTACAATTTCCTTGGAGCCCCTTGTTGGTCATGTTTTCTCTAGCAGTTGACCGAACGACACTTGAACCGCGGCCGTTTTTGTTTGAGTGGAAAAGATTCGGAATTTTGCTAGTTTTAGGCGCTACCCTGACCTTGTCCTGAGAATGGCATCATCCTCCAAACGATAGCCCAGAATCGCATCAGCAAACAAAGCATAGGAGTGATTACGCTGGGGAGGAAATGCTGAGGAAATTCCATGCAATTTTTTCTTCAGGCCCTAAAAAATTCTTGAGCGGAGCGAAAGTGATTTCAGCTGTGTACAGATAAGAAGCCCCAAAGAAAGGTTCTTGAAGAGCAACAAAGCCTGAATGTCAACCAAATATCAAAAACTTGTGCCCGCAAGCCCTTAAAATGCTGAAGTATTGAAGTTTTTCCATCAAGTACTCATGCCCCAAATCCGTAAGAAGAGATATGCTTAGGAACGTACAAGCAGCAAGCACCCAAATCTCAAACATGTCAACATGCTGCGCCCAGAGCTCTTGGCAAGTGTTGTCCAACAGACCATCGGCAAAACTCGTGAGCTCACGATATGGCAGGTCTCCAGCTTAGCTCTGGCACTGGACGCTTGGCAAGCTAACTTTATCAATTATCAACATTCAACATTGACAGAATAAACATCATCCTCGCAGGAGAGGTTAGGGTGGGCAGAGTTGCGTTTGCCTGGACTACCTATCATGGTGGTGCCTAAAAGCCTTGATATTTCAGAGGTACAACCAATTTCTGCCACGCCACATGCCTAAGCATGAAAGCGGCGTTGCATGTGCACTTTTTGCAAAATAGATATTGGTTCCCAGCACCCCACTATGGTGCGAAGTCTGTAGGCCAGTGTAATAAAGCCAATGCTTGCATTTTGTTGTGGCAAACTCTGTACATCAAATTGGTTCATTTATGGACGTTGTTTTCCAATGGCGCTGCAACGTAGCGAGCTGAATGTACAGCTTAACACCAGCTTGCACACTTTGATTTGGGTTGTTCGCTGAATTCAGTTTCTTCAGCTCCCAGAAACAATGAAATTGCGCGTGTGCTGAGGTGATTCTGTACATTGTTATCGCAGTGTTTGCAGTCCTGAACGTAGTCACAGGCGTGTTCTGAATCTTGGTTTTGCAATGTTTGGCACCAACAGCTTTGGGTGGCTTACGTGTTCCAGGCCGTGAACCATGACCTGTTGAGTTTTTTGTAATAATTTCAAATGGCCAATTTTTGTGCAATTGGCACCTTGGTTGGTTTGCGCAGTTCAGCTAGCAGCTAGACAAGATTGCAGTATGGCGATATGCAAGTTTTCAATGTTTGTCAAGCTTGGGGCTCGAGAGGTTCGATTGCAGAAACAGGATCAGGATTGGTTTTGCTTTTCAGGGTTGCGGCATCCCATAAAGAGTTGCAGTGCTCGATACGATTTTTCTAGAAATGAGAAATGTGAAGCAAATACGCAATGCCTTTTCACATGGGCATGTTGTTGGTCTGTACGCGGCATGTTCTTGCAGTTGACTTTGGCATCAATAATAGCAGTATTCTTACAAAAATTATTCCTGTGATGATGGCTGCTACTATTCTTATTATCCTTATCATTGTTATTATTCTTAGTATCCGTGCCGCCGCTATTGGTCGTGCTGCTACTACTACTAGTACTACTATTATTAGTACTACTGCCAACCTTACTATTTCTACTTCCAGTATTAGTCTTATTACTGCTACGACGATTACAACCATTACGACTACAGTTACTACAAGGACGACTAGTACTCTGGAGCAGGAGTCATTAGGGGGAGATGAAGAACAGGAAGAAAGACTTTGTTAATGAGTAAATGGTGGTGTGGTCTCTGACACCAAGGCAACACGGCAATCGAGAGTGCAAGCGCTGATAAGGAGGATTGCTTGGATGTTTGAGGATTTACAACTTAGAGTCTGCGTTGGAGGTAAAGTTTCGCGGTAGAACGTGTCAGGCATAGACATCGGTTGAAGGATGTGCAGGTCAAGTTTTGGGCTGGGAAATGTTTTGGTCGAAGGACATATGACTGCACAAATTTGTTGCGGCAGTGGTCACTGTTTGCATTGTGTGATGCTTCGTGTTCCCGAAGCGTCAGCGGTGGACGTTGATCTCTTGAGAGGGTGCCATATAAAGAAGTGGCTGCGGAGCCCTCAACGGGAGTGGTGTAAAGAAAATTGCCAACATAGCAACGCTCAGATCCCGAAGTAGGGCTGTTGGCTAACACCGCGCAGGGCATTCATGCGTGACCTTGCAGGTTCTCGCTCCTTCAGGATTCTCGGTCCCAGAACAGATTCTAACTATGTAGGCGTATGCCCATGGCTTGTGCTGTTCATTATATTTTGAATGTTCCCTGCAACATGTGCGGAGTTTAGTGAGACTATTAACATGACAGCTGTTGAATCTTTGAGAATTTTCGTGATGACAGGTACATGTCAGACCACAGCGATTTGTGCAGTCCAAGTCTCCCAAAGCCGCAGCGGGTGTGAAATTGTCGGCAGGTCGCGACCATCAAGCAAGCGCGAAAGCGAGCAGCGCAGATTGACCAACTCAAGGCAATCCCCATGTCGCATATGCCACAGATATCGTGTCAGGCATGACGGCCCAAGCAGCTTGAATACATTCGTGTATGACTCTTCCACCATCATGTCACAGATCTGGACAGAACACCTTGTAGCAGCATTTTAGTTATAAGTGATGCGCTCATTGGAGAGCATTGGCATGCAAACGATTTTTGCACTTCGATGGCATGTTCAGGTGTTCCCACCATTCCAGACACTGGCACAAACATTTGCACTCACAACGCTTGCACCTGTTCTCGACGGGTCCAAGAGCACCTATGATGTGGTTTCAGTCAGTTGTCACCATGTCATACTCTCCAGGGGATTGGAGAAATTTGTTTCCTGTTAGAAGCAGTGTAAGGCAGTGTTAGCATCAGAGAGATTGGCTTCGGTTTTCTATAGGATCTGCGGTGAAGTCGAATTTTTCAGCGCTGGCCTATATGAAGCCCTAAAGTTGAACCGGCTACCTCAACATTGAAAAGACTTGGGCCCCAAGAAAAGCAACTGCAATTCATTGCAGCCCACGAGACAGCTGCAGTAGACAGCTGCAAAGAGTTGCAGGACATCTTCAAGGAGTTGGATCACTCCGGCTCCAACAACATAAGTCTCCAGGACCAATGCTGATGTCAGGCTGCGTCTGGGCTTGAAACCCGACTTGTCAAACCGCAGAGTAACAGCGGATAGTGATCTGACCTTGAACCTTGGGTTAAGGGCGGCTCACAGCGGCAATCCTGACTTTCTTGCCGGTCGATGGTTCACTCGGATATGATGGGGTCAAAAATCTTCCGTACTGACAGCATGTCCTTGGCCCATTTCCTGTCAGTTGAGAAGGACATGGAAGAGGCCATCGACACGAAAAGACTTTCGCACTTCCTCGAACCTTGGCGGTGTCCCTTGCTGTGTAGCAACGTGCGACTTCATGGGTTCAGTTCAGGAGCGCGTGACATGTCTTGTGATCTCAACCTATGCCAATGATCGACCTCACCAGCCAGTCAAGTTTTCTTGAGATCTGCGGCATCCAGGCTTTTGATCCTAATGGTATGCGCGGTATGATGCTGGCACAGTTTATGTGTATGCTAAGATGATGCGAGCTGTCCTCGGGAAAGTATTCCAGTCAACGCTCAGCAAGATCCTTTGACCCCTAAAGGTTGGAGATGTGTTTGCCTAATGTTTCTCGCCTGTCACGCCCTTCCTCTTCAACAGTGAACTCGTCCAAACAGTGAATTTGGCTGTCGTGCGCACTCCTGGCTATGCTTGGCGGCGCTGGCAGATTAGTGACAAGCGTAGTGTTGCTTAAATCGTCGTCTTGGGTCTGGCTATTTACATTTAAGCAGAGACCCTGGTTCCCCAGCGCAATCAGGATTCCATTGGAATCTCCACTGATGACGTTTGGACATTTTTCATGCTGCTGGATCGAGATGAGAACGGCCTCCCGACTGGTTTTGCGATTTATGCACACAAGCCGTGGACCACCTATGGCGACACAGGGCTGACAGCGGAATCTCAGTACCACGCATGCTGGGACTAGTGATGAGATAGGTCTTAGGTATTCTCAGGTTAACTTAGCCAAGCTTGCTGGCGACACGACATGCCTAGCAGACCAGACCTGTCAACTCTTACCCAAACCTCAAAAGCCTGATGCAACCAAACAGCCAACTCCAAAGTGCGCTTGCTCTGGCGAAGCTCAGGTCTGCTAGACATCGAGGACTGAATCATTCGTGCTAGGGCTGAGGCTCAAGCTGAGGGAGTCGCTCTCTCGGGAAATATATAGCAAGCTTGAGGAAGCCATACAACTCCAGCCCAAGGATGTGAGCTGGCATGCGCATAGATAGGCTTGTTGTGCCGAATGCGCTTGTGTTGGAATGCACACATGGTATTATCAAGTCTCGGCGCATGGAGCAGAGGTGCAGAGGAAGTGGGGTCTCAACGATCTAGATGATGGAGTCAGGGTCAGTTCCCGCTTCGTTGCTAAAGGCTGCGTTTCACAAGGATCCATTGGAATTCTTCCCGAGTGTCCTTTCAGAGTTGATGGCCGGCAGGAGTTCGTGTCTGGATGCATGCAGTTGAACGGCCCAGCAAAAAGCAACTTGGGCCTGTCCAGACAGCAAAGTTAGGGGGGGGGGTAACGCTGTCGCATATCCACGGTCTGTTGAGTGCCAAGACAACTGCTAGCCTCATTTTGCTTGAACCTGATTGGTTCAAGCTGACAGCGAGGAGTAATGGGGAGGCCAGCTTTTTGCCTGAGATTCCAAATGATAGCTTGCGGAAGCTTTAGCGAGCGTTCAACAAGATCCCACTGGAGTTTCCAATTATGTGGAGAGTGAAGCATAGCATTGACCGGCAGCAAGCTCAGCAGATAGGACGAAGGCAACTGTGGTCGAGCATCTTTCTTGCGCAAGTCTCAAACCTAAACCCTACGCCCACTAAGCGCCAAACCTACACCTGAACGTGAGGCCATGCCTTACTCCCCAAGATTGTTGCCGGGGTCCGACTCTGCTGTCTTGCTGCTGGATTAGGGCGTTCGAGAGTAATCGTGTTCTCCAGAGGCTTCCAATGTAGTTCAGGTAGCCCAAGCGCCGCCATCTCACATGCATCAGGTCTGCAACTCGCAAAGATGAGCTACGAAAACAAACTCACCCGACAAGCGATCAAGAAGCTGAGCGGGGACACTGGTCAGGGTTTGGTTTCAGATATTGTGGTATTCAGGCTCTGTAGGATGAGGGTCAGGGGGCGAGGTTTGTGCGCGTATTTGGAGGATTTGGACTTGGCATTGGACTGGATGAGCAAGATGCAAGATAAAGCTGGTGTGTGACAGCTGTTCCCACCTGCTCAATCTACAGCCTGAGCACCATCAGCTGAAATTTTGATCTGCATAGCAGCAATGATTTGTCACAATATTTTTTTGATGTTGCCACTTCACGTGATAAGTTGCACTTACGCACCGGGCACAGCGGAGACACTTCACTTCAACACGCCTACGTCTCTTTGTTTGCTCATGGAGGCTTGCGCAAAGCCGGCCTGGGCATCGTAGAAAGCAGAGCAACTTGTTCGGTACTGTCTCACCCCTGCTCTGCCACACCAAAGATCGGCAAAAACCGGTACGTAACAGCCTAGGCATAGTCGCGAACGCTATGCTGAAACATGAGGAAAGGTTGGACCCCTCACCCGTTGCAAGGATTGCTGTCGCTGTGCCCTGGCAACAGGAGATCCAGAAACTGCCTGAGCGCATCAGCCGGCATGTGCCGAAGGAGCTTCTCATGGAGATCTGAGCCGTTTGAAGGGGTTTCTTCAATCACCAGCGAGAGGGTTGGCACTCTCGACTGTCCTTGTGTCAGGATCTCTTCCATACTGGGGCTCCCTCAATAAGATAAGCAATGCCGGAGGTCAGAAGATAGGAGATAGACATGTAAATGAAATTCTGCTGCAAGGCCTTGCCGGGCCTGACCGAAATCACAAACAAAACTGACCCGAAACGAGCGTCCGTCATAGATCCGCATGTGTCTGAGCTTGAAGCCTTCACCTGAATGATCTGACGCTCCCCAAAAGACCTGAAGCCCTAGCATGCAGACTGCATCACTGATGCCTGAGTCTATCTTGCTTGTCTAGAACCCTAAACCATAGCGCACAGACAATTGAGGCTCCTGTTTCACAGAACATGGTTTTTCTCCCACGTGCCCTAAGGGCTCGTGTATCTGCTTTCCCCAACGGGACCGAGCAGATGTAGCCCTAAACCTGATCCCACGATCCATAGTTAATTATCGGGTTCTGGCACTTGTGCTTGCAGTTGTCCCCTAGACACGCTGACAAGTGCTGCGGAAGTGCGAGGTTTAAGGTTCGTTAACGGTTGGCAGCAGAATAGTCTCAAGTCGGCAGAACAAACTTTCCGAAATTCAAGACCCGCGCTGGAGTCACTGGAGCGTGTGTTGGAGTCCGGTCTTGTACGTCCGAATGCGTCCGTAATCCAGTGGTTCCAGGGGATCAGGACCGCTCGAAGGATTTGTTCTCCCTCCCTGGGAGGCGGGAGGCCGGCAGTACATGCTGGCGCAAGCAACACAGCCAGCTATGCGTTCAACTTTAAACTTCAATCCACCTTGGCTCCTTTCTTCAGAAAAGTAGGAAGTAACACATGCGATCACAGGTGTGCATCTTTTGCTACAGGAGTTTGTGGGTTTGACATTGCAGTGATGCGATGTTTCTGGTCTCGTTGGCTGCCTGACTCAAAGTATGCACAGACTACAACAATTGCATTTAAAGCTCTTGAGTGTCCTTTGCAGATCAGTGTGGCTATTGACGCAAGCTTGCTGGCGCTGATTAAATGTTCCTCCATTCGGCGACGGTGCCTGACTGGCTCTCAAGTTGTAGTGTCGTGGAAACTGATGATCAAGGGATCATAACAGCACCCACGTGAACTCCCACTTCAGAACCAGTAGTTGCTGCTGTACTGAAAAATGAGGCAGGATACGTGGCTGTAAAGTTGGAATCCTTGAGCTGAACTGTATGATATCACATGATATACCAAAACTTAAAGCCGAATGTCTCAACATTCACAGCTTCGTGGTGGGGAGCAAACCTGGACTCCGTTACAATTGTTACAGTCGTTACAGCCTCAACCACCTCAGAGGGGATTACTATCGAAGCGACCTCTGTCACCAATCAGGCTGGTCTCTGCCCACGGCAATTGGCAGTTGTTGATTTCTGTATCCTCGCCATACTCGTAGTAAGTATTCTCAGTACCTTCAGCATGCTGCCAACGGTTCATGGGCAGAAGGGCATTGCCTCTTGCAGTCATTTGTAATGTAGCCCTGCTGCCTCCCTCAATCATGAACAGGTGAAGCCTAAAATCATCAAACTGAATCCAGCTAAATCTTCATCAAGACCTGTGCAACTAAGTCCATCCCAAAGCAATGGACATTCCAGCTCCCACATCCTGCCCACATCATGCACACCGAAAGGATTTGTCTGGTTGCGAGGAGTTGTGCGTTTACTGAGTTTACCATCCTATGATTGCGGCCTCTTAGAATAGATCGTTCTTCGAAAGTAAAGTTGGCGATCAGCAATCCTTTCCTGCATGCGCTAATGCGGACAGCTTCATGGAGTGTGCCTCATGGCTCCACAAGAATTGTCACCACATAGACTTTCAGTCTAGCACTGCAGCATTTCTCCAGATCTGATACGTACTCCGGAGGAGAGGTAGCCTGGAGGATCCCATCAACTGGGGCCAAAAAGCGGCCAGTGGATGATTGATTTTAGAGGGGGCAAGCAATGCTTTTGGAGTTCTTTGCAGTGGAGTTCTTTGCAACTGCAGTCGCCCGACCTGCAAACCGTAAACAGATGTAGTGGATAAGAAGAGTCAAAGGGCCGCAGACGTAGATGTCAGAAAGACAGCCTGAGGTTCATTCCCCTCAGATGGCCTTTGCATGCTTACCCTGCACAGCCCAGAGTGCTTATTCGTAAGTTGCATCAGTCCTGTAAGGCTCGGCCCGCCTTTTTTGGCCCCATACTAATTAACTGTGAACAAGAGACCTCGGCATTGGAGACCTTGAAGCACACTCGCAACCACCAGCTCGCTGTTGACGGTTGGAGCTCCAAGCTCAGCAACCGTGGAAAAGAGTGCAGGAGTCACTTTACATGGGCTGGGCTGGACCAGCATCATTTTAGATGCGGAGGAAGCATCAGTTCAGCAGACGCTTCTCGCATCTGTGCTTCTATCAGGCCTTGCAGATGCGCAGCAGCCCCCTCGGTGGGTGGTGACAGTCCCATCTATTCTTTGCTGCTGTCTGGGCTGCAGGAAATGAAATGACATCAAGATTTGCTGTCAGCTATGCCTCGTCCCAGGTTCACATGACTGCTAGCAGGTGAGCACCTTGAGTCCAATGGCTTGGTGTGCAGTTGCCGTAGCATTTGTGCCATTGGCTGTTCCAAGGTCCTGAACACCCTAATCCAGCACGGCAGCAGCTAGCATGTATCGCTGCCGGCCCTTTGATTTGCATCTTCCACGGCTGCCTGGGCGCTATGCCTTCATACTCATCAGCCAGCCCGACCCTTGCATGCACCCTGTACATCTGAGGCGCCAATACAGAACAACTTTGGGTCCTTGATTCCAAACCTTTATGCCATGACTGCGAGCCCTTCTCTTGGCAGGCTGCGCATTTTGAGGCCAGGAAGCTTGGGTTAACCTTGCGGCTCACCGGTGATATGGAGTAATGGGCTTACGAGCGTTGAATTCGAATTGTAGTGGCAGGGTGGGGCTGCAGAAGTTCCAGGTCAGCTAAGTTCCCAAGTCAAGCAGCGCTGTAGGATGCTTTATAGATCAACTCCCGGGCCCCTGCTAACCGCTAATTGTGTTGCTGCAAGAATCAGTGACCATTGTTAACACGGCCTCAGCTCTTGGACTTGCTGTTGTCTGGTAGCGGCATGGGAAGGCGTGTGCGGAAGTCCATGATGGCAACTTGAGGAATGCGTAGCATACAGCATGGCAGATAAAGCAGCTGTTCGAAGAGATGGGAACGGACTCATCAGCACAAGAGAGGATTCCATGAAGTCTTGTCAGCATCCCCATTTTCTGGAGAGGTCGGTTGCCAGGGCCTAGCAAACAGAGATCCGAGACGTAGCCCCAAGAGCCATACAGGCATACGCCGTGGGACCTTGCTTGCGCGTGTTCTTGTTAGGGATTGTCAGGGATTGTTAAACGGGTTGGGTCACGGAGTTGGTGCCTCTGGCGCAGGACTGGAAGATGAGCTGTGCCAAACACTCAGAGCTTGCAAGCGGGGTCAAGGGATCCACAAAAAGATTGTGGAAGGCCCTGCACGCTCCAAGCTATTCGGCATTGGCATTGAAAAACTGTTACGATACCTGGGCTGTTTAGCATTCCAGTTCATAGGTTGTGCATGGCAGGCCGTGCGAGACGAAAAATCCAAAGCGCACATCCTGGCCTGAGGGTGCAACGTCAGACCTTCAAGCCTTTCTTCTAAGACAGCCAACATGTGGGGCATTTCCACTTCTTGATGATTCTTTATGAAATGGTGTCCAGTGTGTGGTAGTTGAGATCGGCGCCCGCCACGCGAACAAATTTCTTCTTAGTATAGCGCATTCGGGTCAATCTATCAGTTTGCCCCCCCTTCGTAAACTCCCGCCTGCCTCCTTCATGATATGTGATGTGCAGACAGGGAGTGATGCTTACTAGCTGCTAGCTCCTCTGCTACTTCCACTGCCCTCCGCCCTGGAGCATCTGGCTTCGTGAAGACAATTGCCATGCAGCAAGAGCTTAAGCTCTCTGAACCTTCCTCAGAATTCACGTCATCTCTTCCAGAAGGCTCAACTGAATCCACCGAACATATTCTCTTGGAGAATCTAACTGCGTCGGATTCTTACGCTGCCGGTGCTGCGCCGAGCAACTCCTATTGCGTAGCCACATCTTTTTCTGAGGGTGTCCCTACTTTGTATTCAACCGATTTCAACGGCACTGGCTCAGCATGGCTCAGCACTAGCGTTTCAGAGCCTGGCGCCATGGGGAATCCTGGAGAGGTGAGGGGCAATGAGACTGGAGAAGAGGTTCCCGAGAGCCGCGTGGACCGCCTCGCCAGACTACAGGACCGGACCGAGGGTTGCGCTCGTTCATAGGTGAGGTCCCGGAGTGAAATTAGCACTGAATGATTTCGGCCGCTCCTTCGGTTAATTGTCTAGCACTGCCAGAACTTTGATTCAAAAAGCTAATATCCGTGGAGGTGCTATTAACCATACAACCAGGCAAATTGAGGCGTTGAAGCCGCTTAGCAAGCTGAGGCGAGGTTGGCGAGGTTCCCACGCAATTGCCCAGACCCCCGCCCACTTAGGGCAGTGCCTGCACGTACGGAATCACGACGGTCATGTAAGCCAATGATTGTGATCCGCCTCGGGCCGGCTGCATGCGCCGGGGCCGAGCAGATGATTCCTGGTCCCCCCAACAGTAGTCAGGGGTGTTCCTGAGAAAACCTCTGGACGCCTCTCGGCTGGGCCGACGCAAATGAATATGTATGTATGCATGTATGTATGCATGTATGTATGTATGTATAATTATGTATATATATATGATGCTCTCAGCTCGATGCTGGCCGTCGCAGGGTCCCCGCCATATTAGACCTTTTTTCTGGGTTTTAGGCATAGCCCGATTCTAGACCCTTGTACGCACATCAACTTGTGCAAGGATGTTTTCCGTTTGATTTCGCTCCAGCCGTGGCTCTCAGCAAAACAACGAAACCACAGCAATGGCATACTTTCCATTTCCATCTTACTCGCTTTGCAGGAATCGCATGCGCGCAGTGCGCATGTCAAGTGCTGGAGGTGTCTGAAGTGCACCTCTTGTCAGAGATTTTCTTGCAGCCCTTAGGAAGTACAACGGAAGACAACGGATCCGGATCCGGATCCCGGGGGGTGAGGTTTAGAGTGAGGGTTTAAGAGCTGTGGTTGACAGCAGGCTCCAAATGTGAAGTGGAGGGTGGGTGTTGGGAAACGGGGTTCAGCGCTGGGGTTTCAAAGGTGGGGTTTAAGTACAATGCGAAATCCTCTGTTGTGAAGCCAGCGTCCTGTGAAGTGGAGGCTTGGGTCTGTCAGGGTTGAGAGGTAAGGTTTGAGTATAGGGCATAGGAATTTGAATCAAGGAAGCATCGAGACCCCGAACCCTGGATGCCGGAACACGCTCCCATAGGTAGCCTTGCACAAACAACTTTCAACCTTCTAGGCCAGAATCCCCCCACCCCAAGAGCCCTGAAGGCCGGATTAGAAGGTGCAAAGGAGCCGAATCGCCCCAGGGCACCAAAGAAAAGGATCTCATCCAACACCTCTGCGCAAAAGATGGGAAGAGGAACTCGAACAGTGATTGGGAGGATCATCCTCGGGAACGTTAGCATGTGGAAGAGCATCACAAGGATCCCAAAAAAACTGTGGCTGCATCCGATTTCTTTGTGAAGGGCGCTCATTGTGTTCCTCCAGCGCCATTTAGCGCCACACCGCCGACACAACAATCAAACCCTCATCTGCAGAGCCCACTTCACTTTGAAGCCTGCTGTAAACTTAAACCCTCACTCTAAACCTCACCCCCTAGGATCCGGATCTGTTGTCTTCCGTTGTACTTCCTAAGGGCTGCAAGAAAATCTCTGACAAGAGGTGCACTTCAGACACCTCCAGCACTTGACATGCGCACTGCCCGCATGCGATTCCTGCACAGTTCAGTCATGCTCAGCAGCAAACCATGCTGCTTCAGCTTGCTGCTTGGGCATGTATCCCAAACAGAAAGGTCATTAAGGCTTTTGGCTAGTTGCAAACCGAGGCCCCTAACCGTGAGCCTCAAGGCCGAAAGTGCGTGCTGCAGCAAACCAGAGGTTCCAGACTCACGGAGCAATGAGAGGTTTCTCGCAGACGAACAGTTGTTCCAGAATTAACGCCTACTTCAGCTTACAGATTGGGCTTCTAAAACTCAGGGTCTTTTTACTTCGCAATTCCAACGGCAGACCCCCCAGGCTGGCCATGTTACACCCGCGAATTCGGGTCTGATATGGAGCCCCGAAAAAGTATTGAAGTAGCTGACAGGATTATGTATGTATAGAATTGTACCCATTTGCCAAGCTTTGGACTTTTTGGGCAGTGGATTACGCGGAAGCTTACACTTCAAAGCACTCGAAGCATTGACACAGGGCACACATGCATACATTATTTCAGAAGCTTGTATCAGCCGTTTGTGCATAAAGGTGGGGTCTCCGCAGTCCAGTATGGGTTTGAATATCACATGTTCCTGCTTCACCCACTCGCTGTGCCCACCCCGTGAATATGTCTTTTGCCGAAGTGCGTGCAAGGCTATCTTGGATCAATTTGAAGTGACGATCGCTGAGGCGAAGCTTTGGCTTGCCTGTTTTCAGCATTTTTGGCTTGGAGAGTTGCGGTTTCAGCTTTCTGCGTCTTTGGTTACCTGGATTAAGGGTATCAACCTGAGCATTTCCTCGACGCCAAGCTCTACCTTCAAGGAAAGAAGGCCCCGCAAACATGATAATAATTCTCCAGAGCTTTCATAGAAACAAGCAAGGAGTCAAGACGCCTTTCAAGCAAGGCTAGTTGACTTTTCCGCTGCTGGCTGGAATCGACTATATTCTGTGGGACACTGCTAAGTAAGTTGTCGCCACCTCGACCTCATCAGGGAAGTTTTTTGCTGCTATAGAAATCGCCGGCTGTATCTTTAGAAGCCTCTGGCTCAAGCTGCGGACCCCAGCGGCAGTCAGGCTCTCCACGCTAAGACCAGACGTAGGCGAGAGGGAAAGTCGTACCAAAAAACAACTAAAACAGACGGGAAGCAGTTTCACGCCAGAGCCGCTGATATTGCAGCAGCGGCACCGCGATCAAATCAAGGACTTTGCGTTGTGTTCGAAATATTTTCGCTCTGCCACCGGCACAAACGAGAGAGGTTGCACCCAGGCTGCCGGGACTCCGCAGGACCTTGGGCGTTTGCTGTTTGGTGTGTGTGCGATTGTTGCTAAGGTGCACTGCCTGTCGCCAAGCCTGAAAAGTTCAAGTGTTTTTCACGGTTTGTGTGAAATCTCCTTGGGGCCTTACGGCTCCGGATGGGGGGACCCTGGAAAATGCAGCCTGATACCCCTCCAACCCCCCCGTTAAGGGAGAAAAGAAAAGGGCACTTCACTCCTGAGACCATCCAACACGCCCCCAAAAGGTCGGCGGACTTGCTTCCCTTGTCCGCAAATGTTTGGCACGTAAGCGGGATCTGTTCTGCACGGCGGAAAAACCATTTTTGGCGGGGTTAGCAGTTGCGTGTAGAGTTTGTTGGAAACGCAAGTTGGATGGTCATGGCATTGGGCAGATCCATGAACAAGCTCCAAAGACAGGGCAGCCACAGGGTATGACCGGGGATTGCCCATGCCAAACGCAAGTAATTCCGGCGAGTGGATCCATTGTGTAGCAGCTCTTTTCGTGCCTGGCAACTCAGGAACGACTTGGTTGCTGCTGCGGCTCCAAGAAGTAGTTTTTGCTTAATGCTTTTCCAATGACTTAAGGGACATTTTCTCATTTGATTATAGCATATCATAGCACAGGTCCTGGAAGACTACGAAATCATTCTCATCCTGGACGACTCTGGCAGTATCTTGGTCGCACTCCAAACCCTGAAATCATAACATAAGTTCAGTACCGTTTGATCTCAGGTTTGCTGCTGAGCCAGAATTCAAAGGTAAGCGAGTGCTAGGATGATTGAGGAGCGTGGCAAATAGTGTGGGACTAGCATAAATCCACACATACTGAATGGTACCTGCGTGAAGTTGACTGAAGCCTTGCGCCACTTATTCAGTCAGATTGGGCTTTGGCCGAAGCAATGCTATCCTAGGGCTTGTCTCCCGCCACGAACTTCAGTCTGGTGCTCCCGCCATGCAGGTTTTTGCAGTTGTTCACAGTCAGAATCTTCACGATGCTTCACGCGTAGCACTGTAGAGCTCATCGTTTGCAAGCCCAAGGCATGAACATGTCTGCGTTGCCGGCTGGTCAGCGGTCCCTCCTTGAAGAGAAAGTCTCCCGTGGCCTGGTCTATTTGTTGCACAGTTGTAGGGAGAGTGGAGCACTATGGGAAGTACCAGGCTTGGAGAATAAGTTTGGCCGCATGTTTGCAGACGGATCTGGATGAAGGCCAGGCTTCAAAACGTGAAAGTATTTCGGTTAATAAGGTTGGGAGGAGCTCAAGCACACTGTGCATCTGCTGATTGACCTGGCCTGCTGCTTTGACAAGTCGGGCTTAGACGCTAGGCCAGCATTAATTTGCAACCTTGTTAAAAGTCTGGAAGGGCAGCAAGCGTGTGCCGTTGAATAAGGCATCAGCACATTCTCTGAAGTTCGCATGTTAGGGCACTCGGAGTCGGAAGCAAATCCCTGCAACCAATTCTTTCCTTGTTTCTCAACCCTGAGCAGTTTCCGCCTTGGGTTTCTGCTATAGTTAAAAGCGATGTGCGCGTTTGAGGCAACCCACAAACAGAGCTTGACGCCCCGGAGACAAATTGGGTTGAGAGATCGGGGCCCGGCGGAGGCCCCTTGCATGCTCTCAGCTTGGCACCTGGGATTTCGAGACCAGGCTGACAATCCCGCTAGTGGCCATTTTCACGTCTGAGGTAATGCGGTTGAGCCGAAAAGAGCAGTCCGCAAACGGAACACCCTTAAACGTGCTTTCGGATTTGAGCTGGCGTGCTCTCTCTCATCGATATTTCAGGGCCGATGTATTGCCTTTCCGTAGAAAGGTTGCCTTGCGTTTTTCACACTGTCCTGACATCTTGCGGGAAGAAAGCTCTCCAGGAAACCCCAGGCTCAGAGCTCAGCCGGTCCAGCTCTCCACCTAAGACGCAGTTATGTCTCCCATTCTCGGCATCCTGCACAATGAACGCTACTGCCTTCTGGTGTTTCTGAATTCACGCAGCTCTGATGGCGTCTTTTGCTCACACAGTCACACTGCACGCGCGTTGGTTTCTGCTGAAGGATGCTCAGCATCAAGCAGGCAGTGAGTGTCTCCCCTAAATCCTTGAGCCAGTCGTGTCGGCATTCGGGCTTCGGTATTCTGTCCGGCCCATGTGTTGCTTTCCAGGCGAGTGTCAATCTCATCTGCTTCAGTAGTGCCAGGTCTGGCTGTGTACATTGACCATGCAAACTGCCCGTTAACGTAACGGACTTGGAAAGCAGGACCCTGCTACGGTTTGAGGAGGCACCCACCGGCTGCAGATTTTGGCAACTCCAGCGTCACGGGTCTGGGCCATCGCTGCCAGCAATCGTTGTGAGTTAGCAGCTTTGGTCAGAGATGCTAGTTGCTAGTTACTGAAGTAGTCAATGAAGGAATGACATGTCATACCTCTGAATTGAGCGCTCAGCGAGTTTTCCTTGCGGGGAAAGTCCGCAGGAGCCATTGCGCTATGGGGCAGCTTACTTGCATCTTCGGAGAATCACCAGACGACCCGCAACCAACATGGGCCCGATTGGCAGCTTGAGAAGGTATTGAAGCCGTTCGTTATCGTTCGTTTCGGTTGTGACAACGTGGACCATTGACTGAAGTAGGCTGGCTGTGCTCAGACGGAGGCGTTGAGGCTTCAACCCAGATTGGGCTGTGGAGCTGTGGAAGTTGGCCGAGTCAGCCGCAATGGCCCCGAATCGGACACGGAACATTTGAGCCTGAGTCAGGAACGGACAGCGGCGAGTCAGCGGTTTAGAGCTTAGGCTTTAGGGCCACGGTTTAGGATTTAGGGTTCGGGGTTCAGTATCAACCCGCCCCCTTCCTGTTACTGACTCGCCCCCTTCTTCTTTGTTCCCAAGTGAGGCGCTTGATTCGCCTCTCATCCGTGGAGCTGTGGAATTTTCTTCGACTCCAGGGCAGTTGTTGCTCCAGGAAGCGCGCATCAGAATATACCGCAGCAAACGTTGAGCTGTGACCCGATGAGATCCCATCAGTGAGTTTCGCGCCATAGGATGCAATCTCTGCAAATTGCGCCGCTTAAACTCGACCTCTGGAGCCCTTTAATTTCGCGCAGCGCCTTCCAAGGACATCTTCTTCTTGAATCGCGGGGAACTGGAGGGTGTCCAAGGCCTGTGACGTTTCAGACTCTGGGGTTGTGGATTGCATGTGCAATGCTTTTCAGCTGGGGCTGCAGCATTAGAAGATCCTGTGTCAAAAGCATCACCAAAGCACTTCAGAATAAAGACCAGCTAGCATCAGCCTCGCATCCCAGCGACTTGAAGGCAGGCGACATGTCCAAATCCTCATTATCTAGGCATCAAATGCAGCAGTCGTTGGCTAATTTTCGGCCTGCCTGCATGTCTTTCAAGCAACTGCCTGTTCAACCCAGGAGAATGCTCACGTAATCTCACGTAGCTTTTCTCCCAATGCAGGATTTTTGTGTTATCATCATCTGATAGGTTGGTTCAAATCAGAAACGCACCGCATGCCCGCCAAAGGTTCTGCGGACCCCCGGCTCACTGCAGCTTTCGCAGACAAAGCCGCAGGCACCACGCCGCTCACAGAAACTCTGAGGTTGGTGGCTGCGAAGGTTGCAGGAGAAGGGCCAGGGTTGGGTTTTGGATCGTGCTGACTGTTGATTGCGCTGTTGGTGCTTATACAAAAGGTTTGCTGGTTGATGACGTCAGGATGTATGAGGTTCAGGTTTGATGGTTCTGGTTTCTGATTGAAATGAGGGAACCACTGGACATAGCAGCATGGTGTGAGACTTCTTGCTTAGGAATCTGTCAATGCAAAGCGCTGTTCCAACAGCCTGTTTTGGGCTTGTGGGAGGGGCAGAGCGTTCCCAACGCAGCCGCAGACCGAGGAATGTCGGCCGAGCAGAAACAAGTGCATTGCGCTTGCACTCTTTTTCATTGTTCTTCCACAGAAGGGCAACCCAACCCGCGAATTTTTGCTGTGCCAATCCTGATGGGGCCTCTTGCCATGGGCAGTGCAGATCAGATTGTAGTCCGGCCCTTGCTTTCTGCACTTGGGCAAAGATCCGTCAACCTTAAGCCGAGGCTTGTTTCAGGGTGTTGTACCACATGAAGAACAAGGATTGATTTTGGCAAATTTGTGCCTTCACTTCACGTGGGCAGCCTCTTTGAAAGCCAAATGGATGGGCTGCTTCTAGAAGACACGATTTTGCTTCAGGCGGTGCGCATATACGGAGCTGCGTATAGCTGCATGGACTTGAATGATTTTTTGAACTGGAACAGTCTTGACAGTTCTGTAGACCGAGCCATTCTCAGAACTGTGTTTATACATTTCTGACTTGCAACCGCTGCTGGTTCCTTCGAATGTTAGGCGCTAGGTGTTCTTTGTCTTCTTAATGTTCATCGTTCGTCCTGTCTTTGCTGTACGTTCTCTTCTGCAACTTCCCTCTCTACCTCTTCATGTGGCGTTTTTGTTGTGACTGCTGCAGTTGCTGCCGTCATGGTTCTGGTTACTGGTTGATGTTGTGGTTGTGATTCGGGTTCAGCTTCTTCTTCATGCGCTTTTGAAAATACGGGCAGGGTCGGGTGACCCGCTTTGCTATCGAGTGTGCGCCCTCACCTTTTTTCGACTGTGCACCCCACTACTGGTAGGCGTTGCGTCGCGTACTCGGTCGAGATTTTGGGGTCAAATTCTGGGGGGTTCCAGAGCAAGACTGGCACCATGTGGCACCAATATGGGCCCCAGATATGGTAGAAATCCAATTGAGAGGGGCCCCTACAGGGGCGCTTGAGTTTTGAAAACCGGTATCTTACGCCTAGTTCTTCAGGTTCGGCCTAAACCCTGAAAGGGGGATCGCAAGCCACCAGCCCCAAAATCCCTCGGCCCAAAACAGCCTGTATACCCGTGGAAGCACTCAACCCTCAAAACCAACAAAACCTCCACAACACAAAAAACTTTAAGGCAAGAGCCCTCAAGGTCTAAGCTATGAAAAGGGGTAGCAGCCCTAAACCCCTCAAACCTGAAAGGGGCGGAGCCCTACATCCTAAAATGGGGCTGGAAGCACCAAAGATGAGTTCAAGTCAACATCTCGATGGCTGCAAGTTCTCAAGAATCGACCCGCGATGGACGGGCAACTCCCCAAAGATGTGCACTGAACGGGAAAGTGGATGCACACCGAACCCCCCTACCCTTTCTATTCTTCCCATGGCTGCCTCTCTTGTCGTTGTGGTTTCTGGTTGTTTCTCTTGTGTTTGCTGGCAATAGTGGCGGCATCCGGGTTGCTGTTAGTGTTAGAGCTGATGCCATTAGTAGTGATGGCGGCGCGGCTGTCGCTGATGGCATGGGGGTTGTCCGTTTTCGGCGTTGTCAGTGGGCATGCTTGTCCCCGTCGCATCGCTCGAGATTTGACGGCGATATGTCCTTCATCGTTAGAGCCACCGGAGCTTGCAACCGAAGCCAGTCCAACTATCATGCATTAGCGGCAGTTGTTGCAATGGTAATCATCAGTTTGGTTTTGCCGGGTAGGTCATGACAATTTTTTCCGGTCCTGATACTAGTGTCACACAAAAACTGCAAGCATGAGCGTTGGCGGCTACAATGCCACCTGTTTCAGGAGAGCGCCCCATCTTGCTGATGATTTTCACAGATGGGGAGCCCAATGGCGGATCAAAGCTGTTCGAGGCAGAACTGACGAAGCTGATTACCAAGAAAAGTGCCCGGGCATAATGGCCTGTTGAGCATGAACAGGATGCTGATCTCTGGGATTGAAAGGGGCTTGAGCTTCATGGCAAGCCCCGAGTTTGATGTTGGGTGGGCCTGGGACTGCGCTTCGCCTTCAACCTTACCCGAGCAAAAGGCTAGAACGGGACATGTCAAGGATCACAAGGCCCTTAACCCAAGGTTCCGACAAAGGAGGTTGACACAGAGTCACCGTACTGATTCAGCGGGACGTGACCCGACTCGTAGAGGTGCTTCAACGCGTGTCAAGCCTACGAGTCGTCAGCTCCAGGGTGTATAATGAACGGCTACAGCCTGGCTACATAGCCGTATACCGAAGTCACACCCTTGGCAAACTGACCACAAACAATGTATGGAAACTGCAGGCACCAATGGCACATTCAAGGTGCAAATCATGGCCTGCACGGATGACGAGGCGACGGCGGCTGCGGTGAGTGTTTACGAATGTCTACAGGTTGGTGAGTTCTGGGGGGAGTGACTTCAGAGTTCCGGCTTGCTGCAGCCATTTGCTCGTGTCGTCTTACAGTATGGCCCACAAGACTATCACAAGCTTCAGGATGAGCGCCTGGAAAAGAGGCACATTGAGCTGAACGGCTTGCTTCAGATAAGATTGGTGATTCATGCCTCTAAGCTTTCGAGTGGTTCATGGCCGACACCGCCAGTTTGAGTCCAGAGCATTTTGCCTCGAAGGATGCAGTTGGATATCTGAACGTTATTGACAAGAAGTTCGAAGCCGTGGATGTCACGGATGACTACTACAGTTGCTTGGATCGCTCTTTTTCTCCGGAGATCGCAAAGCATGGCAGCCGTTGATAGCAGTGTTCAGATCACCAAGCCCAAAATCTCTGAGGCGAAAAGCAAGAGGTTTTAGTGAATGCCAAGAAACGTACGGCCTTCACCCGTGGCGACTGGTTACTTAAAGCCATGCTCGGACCAGTTTCCAACAAGTTCGATGGATGGGATGAGAAGCGTCTCGGCCGCAGCCGGCAGACATGGCTGTATGAAGCCAGATGCAGGAATGGAACAGTGTTGACGGTGAAATAACACAACTGAGCAAGCATTGGCATGTAACTTCCTACGTCCCAATGACCTTCCACCATTAGCGCCACTACAGTAACAGCGTCACTACAATGAGATTCCAAGTCATGCTTTAAAGATGAGATGTGACGACGTGGTACGCTTTAACTCCGCAGTGCGGTGCGGCAGCTTTGTTAGACTCAGTATAGCAAGTCTTGACAGATAGAAGCGTGATGCGGCAAAACGTATGCTGAAGTAGGCACGCCAAAAAGCTGGTCCATCGGTGCTCTCAAATAGGAGTGAGTCAAAACCGTTGCAGGTATTCTGCAATCGCATTGACGGCACGCTGTGGACACTGTAGAACATTTTACTATGGAGTGACCCGTGCACACTGAACAAACATCCTTTTCAGTTCTCCAAGCATTCTCAATTCTCGCAGATTCTCGCATGCTCCGCGGAGCGCCGCGGAGCGGGCTGAAGAACCTTCTGGAAGCCAGCGGTCGAGTGTGAGTACTGCAGTCCATGGAGTTCATGATGCATGCTCTGATGTCCACTGCTTTAGGACGAGAAATGCAAGGAAATCTAAGGCCCTCTCAAGAGAAACAGAAGAACCATTTTCTCCAGCCCAGGAAGACTGCCAATACCACGGGCAGCCAGGTGTGCGCAATTCTCTGACGCCTTGATGTGGATGTAAATGCGTGCAGCCTGCCTGGTTTGTCACAGCTCATCGGTTAATCTGCACTCTGGGGCAAAGGCGTAAGATTAGCGCAGATGTTGCGCTGCGTTGTTACATGATGTGGGGCTGAGGACTTTCTGTGCGTTATATCTACTCTGTAATGCTGGATCCTTGCACATTCCTCATACGCCCTGATGCTCGTAGTTGTTCTATAGTAGCTGATACCATACCCCAACCGACTTCATCAGAACGCCCTCCGTTCTCTAGACTCTCAATTTCAATTTTCGCACTGTTGTAATCTGTTGTATGTTTGTGGGCCTCAGTTCTTGGCCTCGGCTTTCAAACCTAAGGCCTGTAGGATATGCCAGGATTGCGCTCAGCCTTGTGATGAAGGGGCACTCAGACTGCTCTGTAGTTCCAGCTCTCATTTGCCATGATGCACGCTGTGAGAAGCAAACTTCATGACTCCCAGGTCACAAGGAGGCTGACGCATTGAAAGTACAGACTTACAAGCCCGAACCGTAAAGAAGAATACTTCAAGGATCTTCAGGGCATCCCGAGCTCGCAATGTGAGCATTCAGCTGCTTTTCCTTGGACTCCTGGCAAGGCCTTCCATGGCAACTTTTGGAGTTGCTGTTGGGTGACCGCACTGCTGTCAGACTGCAAAATCCCGATTCAACGCCAAAGGCGAGGCTGGATTCATGAGCTGCGGGTGTGCAAAAAAGCGGTTGCCAACTCGCTTGTCAAGTCAGGCTTGGGCCTTCGTCTGGGAGTCTAGGTTGTCGCATGAAGCTAGATTCTGTGCCGGTCTGCCAGTGGGCAGCCCATTTAGACACCTGGCATTCTTGGCAAAGACTCGACACAGATCGCCAGTCTTGATCAACTCAGGCGGACGCGCCCTGGAAGCCGCCACGCGAGGCGCGGCCGGGTAACGTTTTAAAGAGCATACCCCCCGCAGATAATGCCTGGAAGCAATTGGTGCTGTGGTCGTTTGATGCTTGAAGCTTGCTTCTGACACGATCTTGCACGCGGAGCCGAGCCATCTCAGAAGGGTCCCTGAAAGCAGAAAGTTCCTGGACAATTTGATAGGCAGGTCCAAGCTTCTGGTTGTAGCTTCAGGGCCACTCGCATGGCTGCAGCTGCCCATCCAGACAACGCAGGTCCTGCTGCAGTCATGTATCAAGTCATGCAACAGGTTTTTCAAATGACACAGCTTCTGACCTCTGCTACCTTGTGTCATCTCAGTTATGAAGGCTCCACCGATCCACTGGTCTGGTCCAGCGTCGCGAGCGGAGGAGGTTGGGTTTGTTGTGTGACAAACCGGGAAGTAATTAAGGCAATTCGGACATTGAGTGCTTCATGGTTTTTGGTAGCAGAACTCGCGCACCAGACTCTGCCGCACTTCCTCTGCTACGTTCTGCATGCACGATAGGCATCGGAGCATGTTGACGAACACAGCGCTCCATGGCGTCTGGTGAAGTTGAAAAAACAGTAACTCATCTGCGTATGCTGCGGCCTTGATTTCATCGACTTGCAGTCCAGGAAAAGTCCATGTCAATGTAAGCTTAGGAACGCCCCGTTTCTGAATTGGTTGAGGCCATCTGCAAAAACTCCACAATCCCTTCGAGTAGGAAGGACTGACAGTCCTGACCAATCTGATCAGATGCTCCGGTCACGGCTTCAGGTCTAAAGTGGCTGCTAAAGTAGACTATAGATTGGACTAGATCCTGTGGTCTGCTGGAGTTCTGACCCTGATGTGTGCAGACAATATCTCACTTGCTGGTCTGTGGTATGTCTTGCACGCTTGCGCCACACAATCCAGTAACTAACAAGATGGTGGAACGTGTCTCATGCTGTCCCTCTCGCCACCGCCCGATCTCCCCGCAAGAAAATGTGTGTGTGTGTGCGTGTGACACCTGATCCTTTTCAGGGAACTTGGTGTGATGAGAAGCAGGGGGCAGCAGGGAGTCCACAGTCCTGCTGCCAACGAAGACAGCTGTGGATACTCCCTGATGCAGATGGGACGATCCCGGGACGCCAATCTGTGCACGTGCATTATTCTATGTCGACTTTTGGCACTCAGGATCCTCGATTGCTCCAAAAAAGGCCTTCACTTGTGTACTCGATAACACTGGATAGCTATGTTGTTCGCCGACAGCAGTGATTACTCAGCAGACATGTCTTATTCAACATAGTTCAAAAAAACATGCCCGCGCAGTGCATGATGCTTTAGGGCAATCTTTTTCAAATCATCTTGGTTACTGTTTTGAACAGCAGCTCGTCTTTGGCAACGGATTTCCTTCCAAGAGTTGAACTTTGATTATGCACAATCGTCGAGGGAGTTCTGACATGCCAGTGTGACTCCCGGAAGGGAGAGCCTGCGTGCCCGCTTGTGCCGCGGGCCAGGATCGTTGCCCGACGCAACATTGGACCAGTAGTTGAAGGCCCACAGCCGTTACATGCTCCGATAGCAAGCGCTCGAGAAATCTAGACCGGGTGGTCAAGGTAACATCAGCACTACACAGGCCCGCAGCGCTGCACAAGGCTTGCTAGCCAAGTCTCAGGTTGTTCAGCCACTAAGAACTCGTGCGCCGCATTGAAGAGATTGAGGCAGCGATATGTACATCGGTGCAGCCAACTGTCCTGACTTCATGTTGGAAGCTTGGTTGTGGTTTAATCCTCATTTACGGGGCTTGTTTCAACGGGGGTGGGGTGGTGGGTGTAGTTGTCAGCTTCGTGGTGTTTTTTTTGTTCGTGTTGATTTTTGGGTTTGGGGTTCAAAAGCAGGCTAAAGGTCCTTGCAGGGTTTCCGCCTAAATTTAGTACGGTCTACCACGACCTCGTCCAGCTCCTCTCCCCATTCGGCTCCTGCCTCAAAGCCTGGTTGTGGTGTTGTGGTTTAATGGGTTTCTTATAGGACCCATCGCAAGCGGGTTTCTTGCGATGTGACCGGTGTCGGCTTTGTCGGGCGGTCGTATTTTTGTGCCCTCAGGCTTGGCCGTGGTTTGGGCATCCTTGTCAGGTTACCCCCCTTTCTCTTTGTCGCTGTCTCGCTCTCTCTCTCTCTCTCTCTTTCTATCTCTTTCCTTCTCCGGTTCTCATGTTCCCGCTATTGCTATCAAAGGCCTTTCTCTTAGACACTCTTGCGCTCCCGCGGGAGGGCTGTGCGTGTGACACCTGATCTGCTTCAGGAAGCCTGGTATGATGGGAAAGCAGCAGTTCTGTTGCCAACGAAAACAGCTGTGGATACTCCGTGATGCAGACTGGGACGATCCCGGGACGCCAATCTGTGCACATGCATTATTCTATGTCGACTTTTTGCATTCAGGATCCTCGTTGTGCATGGTTCCAAAAAAAAAGACCTTCACTTGTGCACTCGATAATACTCGATAGCTGTTTTGTTCGCCGACAGCAGAAATTGCGCGTTGCCTGTGCTCAGCAGACATGTCTTATTCAACATGGTTCAATAAAACATGCCCGCGCAGCGCATGCTTTAGGGAGATCATCTTGGTTACAGTTTTGAACAGCAGCTCGTCGTCGGCAACAGACTTCCTACCAAAAGTCGAACTTTTCGCATGCACAGTCGTCGAGGGGGGTTCTGACATGCCGGTGTGTGTTTGTTTGGGGCATTGACTTTTCAGAGGTATTTGGGTAGAGGGACGTGAGCCACAACCGTTAATCTCCATGAAAGGAACTAGTCTTCGGGCGGCCATGGTTTATAATTTCACGCAAACCCTGCTTACCGATAGGGGAAACCCAACACCGATACCCCTAACAAATTTACCGATAGGGGATTTCAACTAAGATGCGGCTTCTTCTGGGAATAAGAATTTTGGCCCGAGCTCACGTGGAGTGATGTCCGCAAAGATTTGCGCAAAGCTTGGGGTGAGAGTGTTATTGGCTTCTTGGCTTATGGTAGGTTTCAGGAGGTGCGGCTTGGTCTTGCGTAGTGGACTTCCGTCTTTCACGAGAATTCCGGCTTTCGGGCCCCAAAGTCTCAGTGCTAATCATTGCGCATGTCTTTCGATCAGGAGGAAGTGATAGGCACCAAGCTCCCAAATTCCGGAAGCTGTTGAATCTCATGTCCTTTCTATACAGGCATATACAAACAGAAGATTTCAAACACTGAGCCGCTGCAACAACGTTGCATCAGCTCTCCATAGCAAACCCTATCCGAGCGGTTTTGGAGATGGTGGCAGCTCTTTCCGATCAGAAGGACAACCTTGGTTGCCATGAGACTCCTGCGACTGCCTGGCTTGGCAGCTTTGCACAAGGGTTTTGAAACATGTGTTGAAAGTGGTCCTCTGCCGTGCTTGGCAGGGGTTGCCGTGGCAGCCACCGAAGAACCTCA